TAAAGTGGCCAAGTTTGGACAACACTGCCTTAAGGACTTGCCAGCTTGAAGAATATATGTTTTGCAATAATACAGAAGGTGAAGTGGCTTATGGACAAGCAAAGGTTTGCAAAGCCTGTTCGTTCAAAGAAGAGTTATTTAAAAAAAAGTTTGGATTGCTTGAGATAGTAGTTTCTATATGACTGATTTAATAAGCCCTTTTTAAAAAGCATTTTAATCTTAAAGCAAAAGTTGGTATAAAATATAATGGAGGTGGTGATTTCAAAGTTCTGGCAGTATCAGGAAAAAGACTGAAGTTAAAGTTTAAGTCTGTCCACAAAGTTGTCCAATCCATTCAATTGACATCTGTTATTCTGCAATACTTTAAATGAAACTATCTTTATATTTAGGTGAAAAATTGAATGCAAATTGAACTGTTAAAAAAGTATTTTTGTTTCTGCCTTATAGAGAAGGAGGAAACCTGTATAAACAATATACAAAAACAGCTATCTACCATGCTAACATCATATTATTTAGGGACCTTTTTTCTTTTTAAAATTAAATCAGGATGAGTGTAGGGTTCTAGTGTTTTGAATTGCACTTCCTCCAGAACAAGATGGAAAATTTACAAGATTAAGGCTAGCAGTGGAGTACTGAAACATTATTTAGCAAGGGCATTTGTGCCTAATTAGCACAAAGTACATTTCTGATTTTATTACAGTCCACTTGAAGACAAGACATTGTGATTGTTTTACTTATAAATAATGTTTATGACCATCATTACTTTAGTCACTTGCTTCTGTGCTGCTAAAAACAAGTGATTCTAACATAATTTTCCCCTATCTTCACTGCAGCTGCAGTGCATAAGGGCCAAATGCATATTATGGCTGGTAATATTCGTTTTGTTTTATTCACAGAATAAAAAATTATCATCTGCAATATATTCCACAAATGATTTCTTGGGTCTATGTCATAACAAAGTAGGAAGTGTTTCAACCATGGTTTGCACACATGCAAAGAGCACAGGAACATATTGGACTAAAAGTAGAAAGATAACTACAGCCTGCATATTTCATTAAGGCTGAAATCTGATGTATGTAGGAATAAGACAGCCTTATTTCTGAGGAATCTCAGGTCGCACTAATAAAATGAAATGACTTGTGGATACAAACTTTGGAGGAACTAGCAATTTCAGGCTTCTGTTCTTTCTTTCTTCCATCCTTTGGTAGCACCAGGCAGCAGAATCAAACTATGTATTAGTATTAAAATGTCAATTTAACTCAGCTTCTTTAAGAATCAAGCTAGGAAAAAAACATTTATTAAAGAGGTCTGCATATCAGGCATCATGCTGGATCCTGTTGGATGGAGTAGCCCAAGAATATTGATCATTAACATGCAAATATTTGGTGGCACTACCATGTTGTTCTCAAATAAAATTTTACATTTCTGTTGCATATATAACGAGATTAGATTACACTTCTTTCTCTAACACATTTATTCTCTATAAAGATGAAGGATTTGAGGAGAGATTTGAGCCAGCAGTCTCACCTATGGTAAATAGTTTTTTGATTTAGATATAAATGAATAAAAACACTTGTTGCTGCAGCTGCATATGATCATGGCTGTATTTTCACGCTCTGTGCAATTGCTATAGTAACAAGGTCCACCATGTAAAGAAACCATTCCTTCTCTTACCCAGCTGTTGAGCTAAAAATCCTCCTGGAATTCCCCTTATGTCCAGCTGTTGGAAGTCAGATGCCTTCAGAATCAAGTATATTATGATGTGACAGAGAATTTAGAAGGACATTGCTCTATTCTGCAGGAATTAGGCTGATTTCAGAAATTCCATTTCCTCCCAGCTGTCTTTAGATTTAATTGAAGCAAATACTCCTTAAGAGTCATTGCTGAAAGACTGACAAAACATAAAGGCTAATAACAAAAATTGTATTTACATTCAAGCCTATATCCCATATCACACAGGTGTCACTATCACATAATGGCTAGAAAATAATTTCCAGAAAAGAAGAGACCAATAAAAGTATCTGGAAAGTTCTGCATAAAACCCAGTGAAGAGAAGAAGAGCCATACAAAAGCAATTCTCTGAGCCAAAATGAGACTTTCTGCTTTTATCACTTTTATCAGTCCACAGACTACACAAATTACTAGCATACAGGTAGAAGAACCATATCTTCATATAACAAATAATTACTGGTGAAAGAATCTTGTGCACTTGATTCAAATTTCACATATCATAGCCTGAAATCACTTTCAGATAAGCCTATTCACGTTAATAGCTAAATAGCTTCTGCCCAGCCTATACGATTGAACAAAGTTGGCATGCTCCAGATCTCATCCATTAAGCAGTGTCACCTGATGGGACCCATGAAGTGTGCCTACTATTTTGCAGCATCTGTCTTCTGGAACACCACTCCCCCCACCCCCCGCCAAGATACATCTGGCTCCGAACCGAGCCGTGTTCAAGAGAGCTCTGAAAACCTGGCTCTTTCCTCAGACCTTGGGTTAGACAGGGTGGCAGGTCTTGCATTTATGTCTTTTAATGATTGCTTTTCTTCCAGTATTTGGGTGGCTTTATTTAAATTATATTTTATTATTATTTTTACTGTATGCCACTCAGAGTTGGTGTAGGGTTGGGCAGCCTTATAAATTTTTAAAATAAATAAATAAATTGACAAATAGTGGTCAAAATCCCTATTCTTGAGTTTACCAGAATATCCATCTGACTACAAAACACTATACTGTTCATTTGGAAATGAGCAGCGTGGTACAAAACATTTAAAATTGGACTGTTTTGGATGCAAACCATTCTGTTGAGTGCAAAACAGCTGTCTCAAATGCAGAAGAGGCTGTTTTGAGCACCTTGGAAATGCTTTGAGCTCAAAAAAGATGATCAAATGCAGCTCTTCCAAGCTGGAAACATTTAAAAAATGTCCAACAGCCCATTTTGCATTTAAATGAAATATTTTTTTCATTTTAAACAGCCATTTCACACTCAAAACAGAAGCCATTTTTAGAAGGCATGATTCAAAGCATTTTGTACATCACTAGTAATGAACTAGCCACTACGTTTTCTTTTTTTAGTGGTAGATAGCTGGAACGACTCCTCCCTCTGATTTCCATATTGTCCTTTCCTAATGTACCTGCTGAAAAACAAACATACCATAGAACAAAAAATTGCACAAAATAATGAGGAACAAAAGAGTAACAAACTACTGATTATTCCAATTTATTTCATAGGTTCTGAATGAATAGAACACTTTGGATCATATATCAAAAAGCATAATATCATCAACCTGTTGATCTGACCTTTAGGCACTGATTAATACCAATGCCCAAATTTAACAGCTCCATGCAGGCCAGTCTAAGTGAGAATGGTTTCCTTCATTTATTTCAGTGCTTCACATTCAAAGGAAATGAAATAAAGCACAACATGAAATGAAGATCAACATCAGTTTGATGTCTCTAAGTTCACAGTAATATTTAGCTGACCAATCAAGAGATAATGTGTTGCTCAAGTAACCAATAAAAAGTTTATATATAATACTATTGCTCTAACTCCTATGGTCTTCATCATCATAAGAACCCTGTAATGTTATCCTATACTAGTAAGTGAACTTTGTCCCTGTGTGGAGATCAAACCCATCACACTGATCAAAGTCCAATGCTATTTTTTTAAAAAGTAACCTGAAATTTTGTGGCCAACATGTATAGCAAATATGAATAATGTTAATTGTCACACTTACTAAATAAGGGCTTCAATATTTTGGATGGATCAGGATATACATTTATTATTTATTACACAATAGCAATAAAAACATTTAGTCAGTCTGAAAAATTTGGCCAATGGAGTGTTTGATAATTAGGTGAGAACAAATTCTCTTTGTTTTCCTAATGAATAGTTAGGAACTTGCAAAACCCTTATGTGGAAAGTTCTCAAGAAGAAAATGCACAAGGTGTAATCCTACAAGCTCAACTAAATCCAACAGATGCATATGTAAACAGTGAGAATATAGATCTACTTCTATTATTTCAATATTCTTTACTTCTTGTTTACCAGAGAGGTAAGCACAGCACCTGCAGAGAAGAAGCTGTACAAAATGTTTAAGATTTTTTTTTTCTAGAATCTTAACTTTTCCAATAACTACGACATTGATCATATGGCTTTGATGGCTAAAATGGAACAGACCTAGTAGGAAGAGATGGCCAGATACTCCGGTAAGGTATGCAACTGCAGGACAAACAAAAATACTCAGCAGAACAGAAATGCTTAATAGTGCCCAGGCCATGCCTCTCCATAAGTGGAAGGCCACTTCTCATGCCCTCAGATGCAATTTACATTGATCTTCTCATAGCAGAATGGCATTCTAAAGTAGGAGTAAGCAACTTATGGGCCACAATTTCTTGCAGCCCTGAACCATTGTTTTCTGAGCACCTGAACTCTACTACCAAAATTTGGCAGTTCCCAATTGAAACTGGCATAGCTCTGTGTATAGGTATGAAACAGATTAAAATTACTGCTTACACTTTAAGACTTTCATCACATGGTAAAGTCCACACTTTCTAAAAATTCTACCTTTTCTCCCCTCCTAAAAATCTAGCCCTAGTGATTTATATGATATTGCTCTGCTCACTGCAGTCCTATCTACTAAAATCCCTCCCTGAAGTCCCCCTTTGCGGCCTATGAAAGTTTGCTTGCACCTGTTATAAAGGGCAGTTTAGTGTTCATAGGCTGGATCTGCACAGCGTGCTAAGTTAAACTAAAATGGGGTGATAGTTGTAGTTCTGCAGGTTATATGTAACCAGCCAGTTCTTAACGTTGTGTGAGCTGGACCATCATATTAAGCCGTAATAGAATTTATTTTGGAGAGACATTATGTGAATACAGGAACTCTGTTTTCTTAATCCAGATCTAGAATTTAGCATGTTGCATGAACTCAATTACAAAGTTCCAAAACCATTCAGGACTTTGGGAGAAACAGTAACAGTACTGGATCACAGTTTAGTTACAACAAAACCAAAATATTAAAACAGAAAATCTATACTAAGACAATGCATACAGTCTAGAGGATTAGTTGCATACTGATGAGAGGAAATTGCATTTATCAGTGGGATCTAATCATCTTTAGACTAACCTACTGCAGATACTCCCTGAATGTCCAAGTACTCCTTGATTCACAGACTCTCTTTTTCTACTTATTCCACTATCAGTTTTGAAATGGGAATTTGAGGGCAATTCCACTTAAGATACTTTTACTAGAAAATGAGTGGAGGAAGGAAGCCCCAACAATTTTTCAGTTATACATATGGATTAATTTGAAGCTAATTATATTTTGTACTTCCCAAACTAGAGAGAGGAAATTACCTAGTCAAATAGGAAAATTACAAGTCCTTATATCATACAACGGTATAAGGCATCAATTTCCAACCTAGCATATGGAAAAGACTACTATAAAGCAATAATAAACTGAGGAGGAGAAAAGTTTTTTTTTTCTTTTTCCTGTTCTTGATATTCTCTTATCTTCTCCTGGTTCCTGTTCCAGTTTTGTGATGAATGACTATCACATTCTTACTTTCAACATATAAGATCTTCACAAAGCACCATCTTGAACTATCTTTATTTACACTGGAGTCAGGTGTTGACTTACAGGGAGCAAAATGAATGTTCAACTTTTTGTTCTCCCACCTTCTTTTCAAATAACATATGTACATAAGAGTTAAAATAAAGATAAATTATAAACACATGAATTGTTAACTTAAATCTCAGGCTGCAATCTTAAATTCACTTACTAGTGAGCAAGACTCGCTGAACACAATGAACTTTACTTATGAATAATTAGGCACAATAATTATTCTTTAACAGGCAAACAGATATCAAACTCATTCCAATTAAAGAAACATCTGCTAAAAGCATTAAGATGAATGAGATTTTTCTAGAAACATATATCCACGCTGATATTAAGGCTTGCAAAAAGAACACACCTTGCTTGGACTGTGGTAACAGTTCTTTAAGCCATCTTAGCAAGGAACGTTTCTACATTTTTTTTAATCAGTAGCCATTTTTTAATGGTTCCATTGAAGTTATGATTTCTCAACAAGGAGTCTAAAATGGCTGAGAAGGGCAACCTAAATATATTTTTAAATAGTGTTTGCTTTATTGAATAATTTTCAAAAACTCCCATAATAAACATAGACTTTGTATGGTTTAAGAAACAATACATGTTTTCTGTGTTTTAACTTTTAACACCAAATGGTATTAATCCTTAAGCACAAAATAAATATGAGAAAAGGAAATTTGTGACTGGATTTATTGCGGCTTTTTTCTTTTGTTAAAAATGATATGAAATGGGGCTATGACTAGGGATGGGCAAATGTCTCAAATGTCAGTTTTTTTCTCAATGTAAAATCTGTTAATGTTTTTTCAGTTTCTCTTTTTGCAAATCTGTCAAGTCCATTTTATCAAACTTGAAAAATTTATTTTAAAAAAATTGCACTAAAATTTGCATTTTAATTTGTATGTATTTATAATGAAATGTGGTGCACATTTCTCCATGCCCTATCACTAATAGGTCCTCAATGAACACCTGGATTTGAAACAAGTTGTATTCCTGACTTGTTACAAACAAAACCAAAAACAAATCTTTTAAATATATGTAAATATGTAAACACAGTGCACAAGACTCAGTCCTGAGCCTCTTAAAGTTTGATACAACAAAGTTCTCACAGACTTGTAAATTATAGATTTAGGCCCTAAACGAAGGCAGCAGAACTTAAAGCCGGAGTCAGCTAGGTTTCTGGTCAAATGCAAGATCAGGTGCCTATTTCAAAACCAACTTTCAGAGGAATCAGATTGGTCACTGAAAACTTCCCTGCACATGTGGGAGTTTTCTTGGTGAAGGGGATATTCAGAACCTGCCAGCAAGTTCACTTTTCCTTTCCGAGAGACATATGGCTTTCCAGAAGGAAGACTTTCATATTTCGTTAGGTATTGCCTGCAAAATAATAATAGTGATATGATTATACTGTATTACTTGAGGGACAACATGTTTTAATCCCAGTAACAATTTTAAGACACACACAATTGCAAGGGATTATGTTTTAAGTTTTCCTTATCCATAATCTTCCAGAACAAAGTTGAATAAAAATGAACACAACAAATTTCTTATGGCTTTGAGAATCAATAATCTGGGCCTTGTGCTAATGTACAGTTATACAAATTTGTCATCAACAATATTTTTCCTTGAACACAATATCAGATGCTGTTTCGAACCAATCTTTGGGGAAATCTGATTACTGAGAACCTCCTTGCGTAGATCAAGGTCAAAGTCAGGAGAGAATGGGAGCAGAATCACTGCCTCTCTCAGTCCCCATGTGCTGAAATGGGACAATTAAAAAGAACCCATACTTGCATTCAAGCCATTGTACATCTATTGTGGAATCCTTCAGACCTTCCATATGAATGCATGTGGACTGGACAGCAGTGTGTACATTTTGACTGCTATCTCAGAGGAATGCAGACTTTCACTTAAAAAAAAAATCCCTCATATTTCCTCAGCAACAGAGGTTGGCAAACATGGTTCCCACAGAAGGTACTGCATATTATTTAATCTTGTAAGATTATGATAATTGTGTGTAAGAACTATGAAATCTCAGATATCTTTCAAAATAAACACATGCGAGATATCATGAGATTTAGTATCCTTGTGGAAACAATCTTTCAGGATGTTACAATGGCACCTGAATAATTTGTTGATCCCTGCTCTATAGATACAGGTGGCCCTTGTTTAACAACCACTTGTTCAGCGACCGTTCAAACTTAGGATGGTGGCATGCAATTCCAGTCCCACTTGCCATTGTAAACCAAGGACTACCTGTATTACAAATCCAGTTTTGTTAGCCTCTGACAAGGATAAAACTAGTCAGATTCATTTCTCCTGAAGTAAATTCCTTAAGTGGATTTAACCTCTCCTTCTTTCTTCCTTCCTTACAAGTTAAAGTTTGCCATTTGCTTCTGCTAGAAAATTAATGGTTCTTGTGTAGCCTGCAGTATTCCTCTTCTTGATATGCATCTGTCACACATCTTTGAAGTTCAATTGCTCTTTAGCATCATACAGTACATTTGTACCTTTTAAATAGGTATATGATATAGCCATTTTAACTTATTGTATAAAGTTCCAATTGTTCCACAAAAACATTACTAAAGTATTGGAAAAGGCCACAGAAAAAAGTAGCCCAAATGATTTAAAAGCAATTTCCTACAAAGTTCTGTCCCCATGACATGTTCAGCTGGATCAATAGGAAGGAGTTAATGTGTTGTGGGAACTTTAAAAAGGGGTCATTTGATTCAGTCAACTAACCGCAAGAGCACACACTGCTGGAATATGGTGCTAAGTCTATTGGTCAGAAGTTGGGACCTGGATTGTTTAGGTAATGAGAATAGGACAATTAACACCTAAGTCCTACTGATTAGGGACTAATTTAAGGGCTACATAACCTCCTACACAAATTGCATGTAATACTACTCCAGTTTCGTATTTTATTTATTCAACAGTAAGTACATAATGATCTGTTCTGAGATCAGATTGTGAAAAGCTGCGTTAAAATGCTAGTCAGATCAATAAACATTTCTCTTTGCTCCCTACCTAAATGGACTTTCAGTTTTGTCCATCTGCATGCAGACTAAAAATGGGTATTGTGAAAATTTCACTGTGGAGATGAAATCCAATGTTGCTTCAATTTCGGAAGTGGTTTCCATGCCAGCCTTCACAAATACAGCATCCACAGCAATGTTACCAACTATAGCCCCAGCTCCCCTGAAAAAAAGTGGTGGGGAAAAAAACAGGTGGTCAAACATTGAATGGTACGATATTGCTGGAATAATATCTCCTCCAACTGATAACTTTTAGACAAACTTTTCTGTATAAAGATCTCATCATTTCATGTTGGCTTCCCTGCCTGTGCCTCTACATTACTGACTGCTCCTAGCAGGAAAACCATTGATGTTACTAAGGATAGAAGGAGAAAGAGAAAGGTGGCTATACCTCCAGCTCAAACACTAATTCCTGAATGTTTCAGGAAGTCAAACACTACAGGGCATGAATGATAAATCTGACTCCCTACATTTTGCTAAATGACAATTTGCAACATTCGTCACTCTAACCCAACATTTCTCAAACTTGGCAGTCTTAAGCTGTGTGGACTTCAACTCCCAGAATCACCCAGCCAGCTACATTCTGGGAACTGAAGTCCACACAGCTTAAGGCTGCCAAGGTGGAGAAACACTGCTCTAGCACATGCTGGCTGGGACCACTAAATGTAGTAATCTGGCAACTGGAGAAGCATGGGCTCACCCCAGAAGTACTCAGGTGTTGTCCCACAAATTATTTTTCTCAAAGCTTAAACCTGAAAACCTGATAAAGGCAGTACACAAACTGTGAGCTATCAAGGGTATAAGTATCAGTTTTTAACTATTTCATGGTTTAACTCATAGGCATCTGTGGGGGCAAGTGATGAAATATTGCCACACAAACCACGTGACTACCCCAACTTCAGTTGCAAGTTGACAGCCAGGTGAAGTAAAGTTTCATTTTACCCTTACATGACTATCAGCTTGCAACTGATGTTGGGATGCAAGTATGAAATGTCGGGGTTTGTGTCATGTTGTTGCAATATACATTTCATCATGTTTTCACTATCGCAGTTTGTACCAGATGTTTCAACTACGGTATTCAGAATCAGGTAGCAAAAATAATCCTCTGCAAAAACAGTAAAATGACATTTTCTCCATTTTCAGCATGTTTCCATATGACTACTCTTTCAACTAAGGATCTAAGTTTTGAAAATGTTTAAAAGAAAAATTTAAAGTTGTATACACTAATTGAATTTAAAATCCCCCATGTTGATGATCTAATTTGATATCTCCCTCAAGAACTAAATTAGATGTCTCACCGATTTTTAACTTTTGTTTTGGATTCTCTATACCAAAGGCTGAACTCCATTCCTCCTGATACATCAATAGTCATACCTCCCTGGAATTCAGTGCTGCAAATCAGCCCAGACTGCAGCTGGATAGCCTAAGTACAAAGAAAGAGCGCATGTAATATTTCTTGTTTATCTAATACATGTTCAGATTAGTAATGTTTTAGGAAGGCACAAATACTTATCTCTCTGCCTCCACTTCTCAGTTTCCCTTTCTGAATTTTCTCTTTGGTGTCCCCCTAAAGAAAGATCTCTCCACTCCATGCAACTGGGCTACTCAACTAGCTAAGAGCAGAAGGTCCATGGAAGAAGCTTGCGGTGTAGGACAACCACACAGGGAGACCCTTTAAAGCACAGGTAGTCCTTGGTTTATGACCATTCATTTAATGACCATCTGAAGTTATGACGGCACTGAAAAAGTGACTTGTGACCGGTCCTCACACTTACAACCATCACAGTGTCCCCACAGTCATGTGATCAAAATTCGGGCCCTTGGCAACCAGCATGTATTAATAATGGTTGCAGCATCCCAGGGTCACGTGATTGCCATTTGTGACCTTCCCAGGGAGCTTCCGACAAGCAAAGTCAATGGGGAAAACTGGATTTGCTTAATGACCATGGGAAAAAAGGCTGAAAAATCGGGTGCGAGACAATGACTGCATTCCTTAGCAATGGAAATTCCAGTCCCAATTGTGGTCGTAAGTTGAGGACTACCTGTATGTCTTTTAGTCTCAAAAACTGTTCTAGAAATTGTTGTTTCAAGTTGCACAGAAATGAAACATCTATTGCCTCAGCACTGTTCATGCAATTTTTTGTTGCTATCTTTGGTCTAGACCAATGGTTCTCAAAGTATCTTAAGCAGGTCCACAAAGTCAAATAAATATTTTAAAATTTCACAGTTTTAATTTCTAATACAGTAAATATCAATAGATTAATTCATATAAACCAAAGCTCTTGGGGTCCTCAATCATTTTTAAGAATGTAAAGGGGTCCTGAGACCAAAATGTTTGAGAATGCTAGACTAGACAATACCTGTGAAAAAAATAGAATACTATTTAAAATTAGAATCATTAATCACATTTCATATATGACCTCCGAACTATTAAACTGGGTATTAATAAAAAGCCTTACTATCAAAGCAATGGCATAATAAAGCTGCTGTAAAAAGTGACAAATTATTTTCCATATAATTCAGTGACAAACACAGCTTTATGGACAAGATAGCTTCCTGCCAAAACCAACATTCCCAGCTGTCAAAAACCTATAGCTGGATTGGGAATCCATTGCACAGAGCCCATTTGGGAACAGTCAAAACTGAAAGCAATTCTGGGTCCCAGCAAGTCATTTCAGTTGCGTGCTGACCTAGAGCCAACATTTTAAGGTTCGTACCGCTTGGAAATTGTATTAAATATATTTATAGTCTTCCTACAATACATAAAACAAAGTATGATGCAGCTCTGGTGGGTGCATATATATTCAGAAGTCAGTCCCACTGAGTTCAGTGCAATTTACTCTCCAGAAATTGTGCAGAGGGATTTGGCTGATGCATAGTTATTAATAATTCCCACTATTTTCAACCCAACTGAAGCAAGATGAGTAAGTCCATTCATTTTCTGAATACCCAACAAAAGCATTGAAAAAGTAGGGAAAATTAGTCCAGGGTTCAACAAACATGCAAGGTTCTCCTTCGAAAGAAATATCCATAAGCACTATATGACACTGTAACTCTTCTTTCAACTCAACCTTGCTTCCTATTACTATGTCAAAACAGCTGGGCACTACTGAGATCAAGAACTCTGAAGAACCAAGGAACAGTCTTGTTTCACAAAATTTCAGTCCTCACTATCATCTTCTGATGATTGTGGTGACTATCTACGGCCATGCCTTTTATGGCTAGAAACAAACATGATGTATGATAACCACCACCAACATTTGTCAGTCAACAGTCAAATGTACTTGGAAGAGGGTACATTTAAGATAAATTCTAACTCATTTAAAAAGCCTGTGCCTGTCTTGCCACCTTACAGTTACTAGGTGCCATTATTAAAAAATATTCCCTTGTAATAGGTTATTCAGTTCAAAGACTCAGATTTATTCTTCTTGCTTAGATATTATTTATGTTATTATGGTTTTGTCCTGACTTCATCCAAAGGGCTCAAAGTATTGCAGATGGGGTCCACTTCTGATCTGATTTTCACAGAGTCTTGTAAGGTAGGGTCTGAGAAGCAATAAAAGATTTGACCCAACACTGCTCAATAACCTTCAAGCCTGATAGGAGATGTGAGTATCTGTAGTGCTCCAATATTTAGCTAACAATAGGCAAACTAGTGCCCTCCAGGTTTTAGATTATAATATCAATAATCTTCTGCCACTGGCCATGCAATTTTGGGGTTATGTGAGCTGAAGTCCAAAACACTGAAGGGCACCAGGTTGCAAATCCTCACAACACAAATTTATGAGTTGTGTCCTAAATTTTACTCTATGTAAGAATATAAATAACCTAAAGTAAATTTTAAGAAACATAATAGTTTGCTTCCTTGGTCCATCTAACTTTAAATGGGCTATTTGTGGACTAGCTGTCAACACTGAAAACACAGAGGTTAGAAGATTGGTTGCTATGCATCCGGTTGGTATGTTACAGCAGGCATCCACCACATGGCACCCTCCAAATATGTTGGGAATATAAATCCTGGAATTCCCAGCCATTCGGGCTTTGTGGTGCTGAACTGGTCTAGAACATCCCCAAACTAAGACAGTGATTGGCCAAAGGTCACCCAGAAATTTCACAGTTAATGTTCAGGAACCTCAATTCAAGCTTCCACTTTGGTCAATCTATTCCATGAATTGGTATCAGACAGAGTTGTATTCTAGCCCCAGTGCTTTTTAATCTGTATGTCAATAATTTACCTGGGTTCCTGTATGTTGTGGACACACATATGCCAAAGATCCTTGATAAATGTATTACTATTTTATTATATGCTGATGATATGGTTTTAATGGCACATTCCCAAATAGGCCTGAGAAGACTGCTGCAAAAACTGAATACTTATTGTGCTCATAATTTTTTAAACATCAATAAAAGTACATCTAAAGTGATGGTATTCAGCAGGAAATGGGAGAAATATAACTGGCAGATAAATGGGGAGTCTATTGAACAAGTGAATCTTTTCAATTACCTAGGGGTGGTTTTTACTAGTACAGGATTGTGTTCAAATCACCTCAAAAGAAGCTCGGCAAGGGCCACCGCAAGCACTAAAAGATTATACAAATTATTTAACTATAATTATCCAGGCACCCTGACCCCTATATTAAAAGTGTTTAGGGCAAAAATAATTCCAATGCTGACCTATGGTGCAGAATTGTGGGGTTTAAATAAAGCTACCCCACTTGAACAAATTCAGACCCGCTTTTTAAGATGCATATTGGGAACTGATAAGAATACGTCTGCCCCTGCAGTCAGAGCAGAATTAGATATCCATTCCTTACATAGTCATCTAATAATTAAAGTTTTCACATACTGGCTGAGGATCCAA